AGGGATCCAACGTGTCAGACTCTAATCAGATATCGGGGTGGAAGGATGGAGATGGAGAAGCTGAGACCGTTGGATGATTTCCGTCCCGGGTCATTACCCTGTCACTAAATCTTCCTTACAGGTCAATGCTTCTTATGGTTTAACAGAGGCGCGATCTCCAATGTAATCAGCTCACTCCGCCACTGGTTCTCACTTTTTCAGGCCGATCTCTTCTCCGCCGAAAACTCTAACAATGCTTAGCATTTCCTTCTATTTCCTTCAGTAAGGTAACTCTCTCCTCTCCCGTTGATTTTGTTTTCCTGGAAGAAATGCAAAAATGTAAAGGGAATCGTGCTGATTAATTAGAGCATCATCTTCTTCGACTTAGTTGTTAGCTCGATTTTCTAGCTGAATTGGTGTAAAATTTAGCTTAGTTTAGCTAAAGATAGTATGATTCTTTGTTGTAGTTTATACTACTTCCTGGAGTATATATACTTTATTAATAATAAGTTTAAAGGATAAAGATATTGTGAGAAAAATCAGTTAGAGAAGAAGCTTCAGTTTCTAGGATTTATTTTTCTGCATTTTGGTTTGATTTCGCTGGCGAAATTCTGCGGGTTAGCCTTAGATTTTGATTTTACTGAATGGTTCATGATTTTTTCTATTAATTAAGATATAATATCTGCTTATTGTAGTTTCATTGCTTCTGGGTTTGCATAACCCCTTCTTTCCCCTTGGAGAAGACAGAGGAGTTGGGTTATAGTTTTGGTAATTTTCGTCTTTTCTTTTTGCTTGACTTGCGTTCTTGCTTTTTAGTCTGCTATTGCTTTTGTGGAATTATAGGACATGAAAACTAGGGATTTGAAGCTTTCTAGCTGTTGCAATCTGCTCTGAATGAATAGGGTTATGATCTTTGCATTTTGCAGCCTGTGAGTTTCTGAAGAAAATATGGGGCCAAAGCGCAAACGAGCAGCCAGGAAACCTGTTCCCAAGAAGCCTTCCACAGTTGGTCAAAATAAAGGAACAAATAAGAAGTCAGCTCCCAAACCATCCTTTGCGGTGGGCCAAAGTGAAGAAGCATTTTTGAATTTTGTAAATCAGAACAATAGAAAAAATCCCAGGGGTGAGGACTCAAATGATTACGAAGTTGGTCAACCTGCTGACAATGATATTCACTTTGATGGGGGTGGTAGTTCATCTTCTTCAAGTGAGAGTGATGAGTCAACAAGTTTTGAAGATAGTAGCTCCGATGACCCATTCACTGATAAGAGATCAAGGAAACCAGTTAAAGGGCATGACAAAGTGGATCAAAAAGCTAGGAAATTGGCAAAGAAAGATGGGAAGGATAATTTCAATTCACCACTGGTTTTGCATTCTTCAAGCAGAAACCAAAAGAAATTAAAAAAGCATCATCAAGTTTCTCAAAGCAACAAGAAAGAACTAAAAGCTTCCTTGGCGGTATGCTGAGATTTATCATCATATCAAAATTTTAGGCATTTTTACAATTTTGAAGAAATATTCATTGTCTTTTGTTGACTAATAAACTGAGGAAATCTTGCTTTCTTGTTGCCAAACTCTGTTTGAAAAATGAGTAATTCTTTGGATCTCTTTGTGAGCAGGTAATTAAGAAAGTTATGGAAATGGACGAGGCACAGCCTTTCAATGTTCCAGTAGATCCTGATGCTCTGGGAATACCTGTAAGCGTTAATTAGTTTGTTGCCAAAAGGTACAATTCTTTTGTTGAATTGGTTAGTCTTAGTCATAATCCTTCCCCACCCAAATCCTTGGTTCAAATAGCATGTTTGGTTGGGTGATTGAATTAGGAAATTCTTTTACTGGTCCCTATGGTGAGTTTGAGTGGATAAATTTTTTACAGAGTTGGAGATTCAGTGGCATATATGAGGCCAGTGAATTCATTTGTATATTTCACAATACCTGATCATTAGGTATTGTTTAATTTAGATTTCATAATACTTACTATAAGCTACTATGATGAAAATTTGTTTGTAAATAACAGGCTTCATGGTATTTAATTATGTGGCCCATAAGTCATTATGATCATATATCAAATGTTGTTCTGATCAGAAGTCATCTGCATAATTAAATATATACATATGAACTTGGTGAACTTTGTCTAGCCAATCTACGACTTGAATAAATCTCTCTTTCCCTCTAACACATGTACCCTCATGGGATGTGCCTACAGGATTATTTCAATTTGATAGATATGCCAATGGATTTTGGTACAATATGCAGCAATTTACAAAATAATGTTAAATACATGAACTCTGCGGATGTGTTTGAGGATGTGAAATTGATTTGGGAGAACTGCTGCAAGTACAACAAGAAGGGTGAGTACATTGTGTATCTGGTGAAACGGGTGAAGAAGAAATTCATGAAATACTGGACTGCAGCTGGCTTGGGCGTTGAACAATCAAGAAAACCTAATGGTATGTTTTCAAATGATGCACATTCATAGCTAGTGGATTTTAGTTATTCTTTATGCTGAAGTGACTGGTAAATTTCTGTTAACAGTGTCCTCTAAGCTCAAATCTAAATTTGATAGTGCAAAAAGTTAAAACACAAAACCTCTTGATTTTCATGGATATTTGAAATATATATATATATATATATATGTAGGAAAAATAAGCATCTGTTGTCATTTTTTGGTAGAAAGCATCTGTTGTCATTACTTGTTTCTTCCTTTTGGATGTTTTTATATTGCATATCATTATTGTCTGTTAAGTTTGACTGTCATATAATTATTTTCCTAGGCTGGTTTTTTGTTTCCTCTCTAGTTCACCTATTACAATAAGATATTAAAAGTGCTCATGCATAAATACTTATTTATTTGGTTAAACTTGTTCAGGGATCCTTTGATGTGGTTTGTACTAAAAGATTGCATTGTAGGTTACAAATCAGAGTAGAATTTGTCTATACGATATGGGGTATCTGCTGGGACAATCCACCCCAGTGCCTTTATTTTTTGTTCATTCCAATATCAAGGTCCTTATCTTTCTGTGTGCATCCTAGTAATTACATGAGATTTCTGTTAATGTCTCAGTTGTATTTGCATAAAAAGAATTTTCTTTGAATACCTTGTTGTTTGTCTTCTGTTGGCAGGAAATTTATACTTTCATGTTCCTCTGGAGTATGCTATGAAGCACAGCAGATGTAAGCCAATGCAGATACAGCAAGATAGGTTGAACCCCAATCAGCCCTATATGCAGGTGCCTTCATTGAGCTATAACCAACCTTATCAATCGCAACTACCTCTTCCAAGTACTATGTTACCACCTTTCCCTCCATTTCCTACATCAGGCTACATGGACCCTTGCCAATTACAGCATCCTCAGCGAAGCATCAACCAGCCTCAGTACTCTCAGTTACAGGACCGTGCAGATTATAGTGGTGCAGGTAATCTATTTATCAGCTGCTGTATAGCATGCAATGAGATGCATAGCACTATTTTATGTAGTCAATATTCAACCACTATGATCTTTCTTTCGTCATCTTTCTCTTCTTCTTCTTTTCTTTTTCTTTCCCTGCTGGACATTCTCACTTTCAGCCTTATATTGGCTCAGTCCAGAAGCGTAAAATTCATTAGGCCCCATGTTTAGTAGCCCTGCAAACCAGACATAGCTCTTGCTGTGCCAGTTGAGCCACAAACAGCCGTGTGTTACACAGCAGCCACATCAAAGCACCAGCAAGCTGCAACCCTCTTGATTCAAGGGTGCTGTAGACGCTGGTATTTCAAGAACAGTGGTTCAGATCTCACTGTTTTAATATTGTTTTTTTCAGATTGCAGTAGATGTTATGTCTATTGTAATTCATTTTTTTGTTATTCTGATAATCTGCCACACAGGTTTTGATGCCCCAAGCTTGTGTTCTGTTGCTACATGTTTCATAAAGAATCTTAATATCCTTTTCATGTCATATTTATGATAAAAGATCATTTTCCTTGAAACCATCCTCAGCAGGTCTTTTTCTTTGGCAGGATATTCACACTTACCACCACATATGGATTTCACTAGGTACAATGGGTATGTTCCCCACTATCCAACAGATCCCATGGTTGTTGGTCCCAGTCAAGAGCATCCCCGACAATCCCCGTTGAGCAATGGCAGGTCAAGTGAACAGCAGCAGCTTCAGGCAAGTCATGGTAAGCTTCACTCCTCCTTGTTGCAGACCAGTGGAGATATTGGTGCTATGCATGTGCTATTTCTTTACCGTTTGGTAGATATATAATCTGTTAGAATTATGTTGTGTAATATATTTTAAGGATACTTTTACATTCTTTATTAATTAATTAACAGTAAACATTGATATCCAGCACAGACTTTGTAGTCAGGTTTTTTACCTAATTATTATTTTCTTTGACAAGTTTACCCTATTATTTTAGTTGAAATGTGAATTTGTATTTACAATAAAACCAATGCACGAAGCAACGATGCTTAAAATGACAGGCTACCACTTATCCTGTTCTTCCAACATCAATCAATGAATGCAAAAAGACTACACGCTAGATGTTTGTCACTCTGAAAGTAAAAGAATTCTCAAACTCTATTTAACTTACATCATATGTCTATTTGTTCCACACTTTCCTCGCAGAAAATTCCGAGGTTTCACTAACAGACTCTGCCATGAGGGGTATTAGGTGTGCATTGAGGTATTCTGCTGGCCCCATCACAGAGGACTCCAGCAAAAGGCACAATGATTGGTTGGTTCCCACTGAACCACAGCCTGAGCATACCCAGCTGGATAAGAATCAACTCACACAATCACAGCAGCCTGCAAAGAAGATGAAGAGAGCAAGAGGTCCAACTCGCTGCCTTTTCCTCAGAGACCTTCCAAAAGGTCAGCGGATTACTGTACCTATCAACAAGGAGGGGCAGCCTTTTGGTCCTGAGTCATCTAAGCTTAGCAACTTCTTAGGCACCATGGCACGAAATGGTCATAGGGCACCTCTAACCTTTATCAATTGGAAAGAAATACCTGATTCATGCAAGGAAGACATGTGGCAATCGGTTCAGGCAGGCAGAAGCATCATTAGCCTTTTCTTACATTCCTTCCTTTCTGTTATATCATTCTTTCTAAGTTGATAAAAAAAAAAAAAAACATTCTAAGTTATTTTTCTTTTTATTCACATGCAACAGAAAAATTTTGATGTTGATCCAAGTTGCAAGACCTGGGTCTTGAAGTCCCTTGCAAAAAAATGGAGAAACTGGAAGACAGAATTAAAGGCTAAGCATTATTATCCTCATAAGACTGATGAGGAGCGCCTGAAGGACTGTCCACCAAGGATTGTGTCTAATCAATGGCCTATTCTTATCTCATATTGGAATTCTGAAAGTGCAAAGGTTTGTGTTGAGCATTAATTGCAATGCAAACTTCTTTACTAATGTGGAAAATTTTGTTGTTGTATCGACTGCTCTGCTCTAAAGTGAAAGCATAATACTCATTAGTGTCTGTCAGATGCAATGTGCTATCAATAAGGCCAATTGCACAAAACAGAAGGTTGCACATGCTACAGGCACAAAGAGCTATGCAACGATACTTGAGGAGGAGGTAATTTCTTGTGCCTTTTCAACTTGTGATAGCATACATGCTGTTTCTGTTGTGAAAACCACAGTGCAGCCAGTTACAATTGTCCATGTGACAACAGCGGAGGAAGAGACCTGATGGAAAGGAGCCAACCAGAGCTGATCTGTATATATTAACACATACACGTAAAGATGGGCAGCCCGTGGATGAGAAAGCAGCAAAAATGATAGTATGTCCAAGTTACTTTACTGGAACCTCATCATTCGCTATGTATTTTGTGTTAATATATGAGTGCCTTTATAGGCTAAACAACTTGGCTATTTGTTTACAGGCAAAACTCCGTGAAGCTAAGAAACAGAGGACCTCAGAGTGTAGTGATGACTCAGACGACACCTTCTGTCTAGTGATTGAAGAAGAAAATTCCAGCCCTATCAACTCTGACGAATTAGGCCCCACTAATAATGTTGTTCAAGGCTCAAAACGTAAACGTGGTGTCTTCACAAGGGTGAAGCCTCATGCTCATGCTAGGAAGATAGCACAAAGAGAAGTAAGCAAGGTATTAGAGAAAATAAATGCCGTGGAACAAAAATATGATCGCATTGAGAACCAGATAGCTACACTGACTTCCGACATGCATAAATTTCTTGATAAGCTTGGTGGACTGTCTAATGTTTTGGGTTCTGAGCAGGTAACCTGTAGTTATACTTAGATTACATTGCATCTGAAAAGTTTTCTAATCTTCTTACCTGCCCTTTCTTTTTTTTCAAGTTTCTTCATCTTCTGTAGCATTTCACAGCTCATTGTCGATTTGCTATTAGGATATGTTTGGTACAACTGGTGGGAAGTTTTTTGGATTCCAAAAAGCTTCGGCTGCGTCAAACACTATAATTTGTAAAAAATGCTACAATTTTTCACAAATTAACCTTTTGTCTATTTCATTGCAAATTTCATAAGCACCAAATTGGTACTTTTGTATGAGCTTTTCATTTAGGTTTTAATAAAATTAATATATTATTATTATTTTATCTTTATTTTACTTTTTATTTACAAAAACAACACTTACAATAATTTCTTTTCAACAGAATTTTTATTGAAAGCTCTAGTTATACAAAACAGACACTAACTCTTGTTTCATTTTTAGACAACGAATCCATAGGGATAGCCGGATATGGCGTTGCTTACTGGACGGTACAACGACATATTCAATTTCTGCAAGCGGTTTGATGTCAATTGTAATTAGAGGTGTTTTATTTTGTATTATTGGATCATTGTAACATCAGATGCTGTTGGTAACATTTGTGTTGCAAGATGTAATGGCTGGTTTGTTTTGAAAGTTTTTCAGCCAAACCATGACCCTGAAACTCCCCCCTTTCATATTATTTTTCAACTTAATTTTAATGGAGTAAAAAAGAAAAGTATTTTTCCCCCCAAACCATACCGCATTGAATCGAATATCGTAAAATTGTTTATCAATCCAGGTCGGAAGAAATATAAGTTAGACGGTACAAACTTTTTGAATAATTATATTTAACGGTTTAAATTATATTAAACTAAACATGATATTATAAAGTTGTTTATCAATTTAGATTAAAAAAATGTAAATTTCAACAATAATAGCTCTTTAAGTAAATCACCAGTGGGATGATAATTTCCTTTTAGATCTGCGGAGTTCGTAGGAATTCTACAATGAGAATAAAGATTTTAAGGATATTTATCTGCGAAAGGATGAAGATTTTTATTTTCTTACCAAATTTTGTGAGGAATTTTTTTTATCCGTGATAATTTATATATAATAAAAAATATATAAATTAATATATTTTTTTAAATATATTATCAATTAATTTTTATTTACCCAAGTTGATTGACTAACCCAACTTAATCTAATTGTGCAGTCTATTTCATTTTTTTAGTTCTAGTCTTCTCAAATCCAATTTAATAATCCAACCCAACCTAAATATGTATGATAGCATATGCATTTTTTTTTATGAATTTATGGTTGGACCTGTTGAATGTGTATAACAATATGCATTTATTATACTTAGGTACTAGATATTACTTTGCTATAGTATATGTTAATGTACTTTCTTTTTTGAATTGTTTAAATTTTTCACTTTTTTTATTTATTAAAAAATTAAAATAAAATTTTATATATTTAATCATTTATGAGGTTTCAAATACTTATAAGACTTACCATTCTTCATGGATATAAAAACGAAAATTATGTTTTACCTCTATAAAAAAATCCTGTAGAGATCCCCGTATTTACCATTAATGGGGATGGGGATCGGATGGGATGGGATGGAGGTCTCCAGCCTTGTGAGACCCATTACCATCTCCACATCCTGTTAAGTTTTATATTTATCACATTCAAAGATGAAGTTTTACTTATTTTTGTGAAGGAATAATCAGGTTCAAATACACTAAAAATCTATAAAGATAGTTGTCTTTTTTTTTTAATAAAATGATAAGGGTGGGTTCGAACCCACCAGGAAAAGAGGGCTGTACCTCCAAACCTGAAGGCTACTTGACCCCGAGGACCATATGCATGAAGATAGTTGTTTTTTTTTTTTTTTAAACAAAGTGGCAAGAGTAGGTTCGAACCCACCAGAAAGAGGGACTGTACCTCCAAAGTAACTTGAAGGCTACTTGACCCCGACGACCATACGCATGAAGGTAGTTGTTTTTAAGTGCAGGTTTGACTGTAAAACTCATTTTCAAAATACTAAAAAAGGAAAAATACTAGGAGTATACAACAGCTTTTATTTCTCACACGTATATTGCATAGTTAAGTTACATGTGAGAACTGAAACGCAGGTGCTGAGATGAAGAAAATCCAGACCGTTAGATCATTTCTCTTACGCAACAGTAGAAGGCGTCGCAAAACTGTCGTCGAAGTGATACCAGAAAGCTAACGCTTCTTTTATGAGTTTTCCACGTTCTTTTCAGCGACTCCTTTTAGCGGCGATGATATCGCCACCGTAACCAGCTGATTTTGGCTCCCGCTCTCACTTTCAGACCGATCGCCTTCGCCGGCGACGAGAAATTTAGCCTCAACTTTATTTGCATTCACTTAGGTTTCGCACAGTAAGGGTAACTCTCTCTCTCTCTTCTTTTTCTGCCACTCCCTTTGCTTGTATAGAACTCTGAAATTGGGGAATTACTCTGATAAAATAGACATGCATTTCTTTTTCACCTGTATTTTAGTTGATTTCTAGGTGTTTTGAGACCAGAACTAGCTTACTTTACCACAAGAAAACGTGATTTTTCATTGAAAAATTTTTGTGGCTTGGGTTTAGGAAATTTCTGGTCTGTTTAGACGTACTAGTAGTATAAGGTTTGATTTCCTAGACATGGTAATTTGGGTTACATGCTTGTTGTATTTGCAGCTTGTGAATTGTTAGGAAATGGCGAAGCGCAAGCGAGTAGCAAGGAAACCTGTTTCCAGGAAACCCTCTGCAGTGGGGAAGAAAAATGAAGAAACAAGTAAGAAACCGGTGCCCAAAAGGTCTTCTGCCGTGGACCAAAATGAAGAAGCATTTTTGAATTTTGTGAATCAAAACAACAAAGAAAATTCCAGGTGTGAGGACTCAAATGATTTTGAAGTTGTTAACAACCAATCTGACTCTGGCTCTGGTTCGGGCTCGGGCTCAGGCTCAGGCTCAGGCTCTGACTTTCCCTCTGAGGCTGGTAGTAGCTCATCTTCTTCCTCTTTTTCAAGTGAGAGTGATGAGGCATACAGTGGTGAAGATAGTAGCTCAGATGGCTCATCAATTGATAAGAGATCAAGGAAATCAGTTAAAGGACATGGGAAGACAAAACAAAAGGCAAGGAAATTATCAAAGAAAGAAGGGAAGGAGAAACATAAGTCGTCAAGGGTTTTGCGTTCTTCCAATATAAAGCAAAAGGAGTTTGAGACACCTCCTCAGGATCTGCGGTACAATAAGCAAGAGCTGAAAGCTGCCTTGGGGGTATGCTGATGATCAATTTATTATCAATCCAAAATTGCTAATTGAATAATGCCTTGGTTTGTCATTGTTAATTTCTGTTTAAAAATGGTTAATGCTCGGAGTGTATTTTAACAGGTAATTAAGAAAGTTATGAAAATGGATGAGGCACAACCTTTCAATGTTCCAGTAGACCCTGTTGCTTTGGGGAAACCTGTAAGTGTTAATTACTATATGTATGTATTTGCACTGCCAAGTACATGTCAAATTCCTCCTTCACCCAGTTTCCACCTTGTAGCACCCTTTGTTGAACTTAGTTTCAATGGATCTAGAAAATCATTGCAAATGACTAAATCAGGCACTGGCTCTTCCTGTTGATGAATTTGGGTTGATAGAATTTTATTTTTATTTTTATTATTTATTTGTTTATTTTATTTTATTTTTTTGTTCTTTGAAGAGTTGGATATTGGATTTTATATATGGAGACCAATTCATTTGTTTGCCTATTAGGTTCATATTCAGAGTTCATGTTCCTTCTTTGATATTGTATAAGCTATGATGAGAAGTTTTTGGTAATAACTAGCTTCATTATCTTCAGCCATGCTTTCATGTAATATAAGTGCTTATATATTTTTTAAATGTCTTCATTATTCATCAAGATATTCTTTGCCAGTGCACATTTAAATACATATCTTCTCAATTTCCTTTGTCTAACCAATTTTTCCATTTACTGTATCCATCATACATGTATTTGTGGGTGGCTTAATGCAGGATTATTTCAATATAATAGATACACCAATGGATTTTAGCACTATATGCAGCAATTTAAATAATGTTAAGTATATGAACTCAGAGGATGTACTCAAGGATGTAAAATATATTTGGGAAAATTGCTTTAAGTACAGCAAGAAGGGTGAGTATGTTGTGTATCTAGTGAAACGGGTGAAGAAGAAGTTCATGAAGTACTGGATAGCAGCTGGCTTGTACAATGAACAATCTAGAAAACCTAATGGTATTTCTTCCTTATAATCCTTGTAATTTATGGTATCACTCTGGATTTAACAGTCAAGAATAATAATTGTGTTCCAATATTTGGGTATTGCCATAATAATTTTATTGTTTGTCTTTTCCTTCAACAGAAAATTTCGACTTACAGCCTCCTGCAGATCATGCTATGAGACACAACAGATATGAGACAATGCATCAGGCTGGCAATGCAATGGTTGGAATCAGCCACATGCAACAGAATAGGTTGGATTCCAATCTCCCTCATAGGCAGTTGCCTCCATTGAGCCACAGCCGACCTTATCAGTCACAGCCTCCTCCTCCACCAAGCATCATGTGGCCACACTTCTCCCAGTTCCCTCCGTCAAGCTCTGGCCAGTCTCATCAGCTTCAGCATCCTCAGCCAAGTGCCAACCAGCCTCAATACTCTCAGTCACACCATCGTGCTGAATGTAGCAGTGCAGGTACTCCATTCATCATTTGCATCATATTTTAGATGAAAATTTTGTGTGTTGCTGATGTACTTCACCATTGTTTATTATGTTTCAACTAGTCAATATTTCTATAGTGAGAATAAGAGTTCTCCTTAACCTTCTTTATGTGTTTATCGTGTTTATGGAATCACTTAAATATAAACTTTAACTCTGAGGTTTCTTTTAATCTTTTGCTTGATGTGCACAACTTTGTATATGTTACACCTGGACAATCTTTGAATATCTATTACAGCATGTCATGTCATGCCAATATATAATTTGGCAAGCACATGCTTTTATTCTTTGGATCTTAATCTTTCTGGCTGTTTAACTAGCCCTTGTATAGAGTATTATGTATTACTCCATTCCGCTGAACTTGTTTGTAGTCTCCTGCCTAAAAACCGTTATATGTAGTCAATTCTTGACTGGTACTTTGGTAGCAGGTCATTCAAACTTTCAGCCTTCTCCTGACAAAGTGCGGAAGCACAAAAATCATCCTCCCAGCTCTTTGCTAGGCCCTACTGGCTCCCACAACCAGTCCCAGCCAGTGCTGCCCCAGTTAAGCCACAACCTACCGCTTGTTATGCAGCAGCCCCAACAGAGCACCAGTCACTTGCAAGCCTCTCAATTTCCAGGCGCTGTAGACACCAGTATGTCAAGCCTAGTAGTCCAGATTCATGTTATTCTCATACTCTTATACACTCTTCTCAGCTTGCCTTCATTATCATGTCTATATTTATTCTTTTTTTTTTCTTCTTTTTTTGATAATCTACCATACAGGTTTTGAGTTCTCAAGCATGTAATAACTTGCTAATTTTTTCATAAAGAATCTAAAATAAGGTTTTGCTATTATATATAAAATAAAAATATTTCATTGCTTGTCATCATTCTATGAGCATTCCCAACTAATTTTTCCTTTTGGTAGGGCATTCAAACATGCCCCCTCCTACAGACTACACAAGGAACACTGGTTATGTCCCTTGGGGTCCAGCTGATCCCATGGTAGTGAGCCCCATAGAAGTGAATCCATTGAGCAATGCTCGGTCAAATGAACCACAGCAGCCACAGGCAAGCCATGGCCAGCATCAGTCCTGGTTCCAGACTCATGCTGATATTGGTAGTGTGAATGTGCTAATTCTTTACTGTTTAGTAGATGAATCATCTTCTTATATATATATTTGAATTAATAGAACATCATGTAAGAATGCTGTTATCTTCAATTAACAATTCAACTGTTACCAACAGCCAAAAATAAAAAATCAAGTGTCGTCTTTCTACTTTTGTCAAATTGCATTCAGTCAGGTTGCTTATTTAATATTTGAATCTTTAATTGTTTTCCTCTGTGGAAAAAGCTGGATGTTCAGTTTTTATGAGACTGATGTGCACTATATATTTATGCCCCTCCGGTTACTTTGCAGAACATTCAATTACAGACTCTGCCATGAGGGGTATTAGGTGTGCACTTAACTATTCTGCTGGCCCCATTATGAATAACCAAGGGCAGGAGGATCAATTGGGGCATGGCAAAAAGCAACCTGAACAGACAGAGCCGAACGAAAATCAGGGAGACCAATCACAGCAGCCTCCGAAGAAGATGAAGAAAGGAAGAGGTCCAACTCGCTGTCTCTTCCTGAATGACCTCCCTGATGGTGAGCGGATTGTTGTCCCTATCAACAAGCTGGGGCAACCTATTGGTCCTGAGTCATCTAAGCTAACCAGCTTCCTGGGCATCATAGCACGGAATGGTCATATGGCACCCCTAACTTACGTACAATGGAGACATATGCCTGATTCATACAAAGAGAAAATGTGGCAACATGTTCAGGCAGGGAGAAGCAATACTGCTGTTTTTATTCTCTGTTGTATTTCCCCTTTTTCTTTTGGAAAATTTCTTTTGTTCTTTGTAACTTGTAAGTGATGTTTGTTTTTCTATGCTACAGACAAAGTTTGATATTGACCCAAGTTGCAAGACCTGGGTTATGAAGTCCCTTGCAACAAAATGGAGGGACTGGAAGGCAGAATTGAAGGCTAAGCATTATTACCCTCATAGTACTGATGAAGACCGCTTGAAGGACTGTCATCCAAGGATTGTTCCTGACCAATGGCAATTTTTGGTCTCTTATTGGAACTCTGATGACGCCAAGGTTTTTGCTGAGCAGTAATTTCAGTGGAAATTTCTATTGACATGCTAAGTTCTTTTTTGGCTGGTTGTGGTTCTTAAAAGAATATAAATACGATTCTTATATGTTTGTAGAAGCTATGTGCTACAAATAGGGCCAACCGTTCAAAACAGAAGGCTACACATGCTTCAGGACCGAAAAGTTTTGCAAGGGTTCGTGAGGAGGAGGTAATTCCTTGTAATTTCATATTGTGATTGCATGTATGCTGTTCTCTTAACTTACTGTGTATGTGAAAACAGCGGATGAAGAGATCTGATGGAAAGGAGCCGACTCGAGCTGAGCTATATATATTAACACATACACGCAAGGATGGGCAGCCTGTGGATGAGACAGCAGCTGCAAATATAGTACGTATAAGTCAATGGACTGACAGCTTGTCATTTTATATTGTTTTTCTTTTTAATGTGTGTCACTAGGTGTGCATTTGTTCAGTACCTGATAATTTTTATAGGCTTAACACTTTAGTTTATTGCAGGCAAAACTCCGTGAACTAGCAGTTAAGAAACAGAATGACACGGAATGTAGTGATGACGATAATGACACATTCTGTCAAGTTATGGGAGAAGAAAGACGCGGCTATGTCCGCACTTATGGATTAGGTCCCACTCGGGATGACATTTATGGCCCAAGACCTAACCGTGACCTTGTAAAGATTGCAGCAGAAGTTAAGAAGTCAGCAAGTGAAGAAGTAAGCAAGGTGTTAGAGAAAATGGAGGCCATGGAACAGAAATATGCAAATATGGAGAATCAAATAGCTAGGCTGACTTCAAGCATGCAGATATTTCTTGAGAAGTTTGGTGGACCACCAAACATTTTTGGGTCTGAACAGGTAAAGATGCATCCAGACTAGCTTTACATTCGTCTCATTATGATGTCTCATATATCATTTACCTGCCTATTCGCATCAGGTCCTCAATACACCCAATTCTCCTCAACACTTAAATCAGCCACATCTACACTCAACATCATCAAGTCATGCTGTGAGTTCACAAATTCTTACCTGTTTCATTAACATGCTTTGTGCATATGCAGAACTAATTCCATTAATTTGGATATGATACGTTGGATGACTTGGAAATGCTCTAGTAACTCCATAATGAAACAATTCCACATGGCTGCATTACCTTAGGTATTTCAGTTTGGCTGATAATTATTGTTTTCTTTTCAGGGTGCAAATGGCAGGGGCTATGCTTAATGAAAAAGGCGAAGTTCCAACCATTCCAACCATTCCCTTGCATTTTCTGCATGTGCCTTGTTGTAGTTAGGATTTTTATTTTTATTTTTATTTTTCAATTTTTAGCTAGTAAATGGGAGCGAATCTCTGGCCACGAGGATTGTCGTCCTTTTTACCCATCCTCATGCCGAGAGATTACCGCTGGTCTCTTTGGCCCTTTTTAATTGTAATTAGAGTTGATTTTGTTTATAATGAACGGGATATCCATGAAGCATATTATGAGATTAGAGTCAGCACCGGATGCTTTGCAAAAAGTTATTATGATGGCGTCCTAAATTAATGTGAGACTTTTTTTTTTTAATTACAATTATTTACATATTAATTGAGGGAATGAGGACAAGAGATTCTGTGAATTCGAATACATAATTTACGGGAAATGAACAGTCTTGACCTAGGGTTGAATGCAATTGAGTCAAAGTAAGCCATTTTAATATGAGATTTTTATATATTCTATTCCATGGATGTTATCATGTTTGTGGTTAGACGAAATTCCCAAGAGCTGCCATGGGTTATAATTGGTTTCTGGTTTCTTCAAGCCAGTTTTCACACATGTTGAAACTCATTTATTTTTAAAGATAGTTTAATTTTTTAGTAGTAATTTTAAAATTTGAATTCTAAACTTAATTTATGAAACAATATTTACTTATCCTTATGGTTATGACTATCATTAAATTTGTTGAGGCCACATAAATTGTTAAATTTTTATATTAAGAATAATTAATAACTTATAAAAT